TTATAGGACGTAAAACATAAACAACCCAAACCAATCATGCCTCCCTTTTCCACTCAAACATCTATGTATCATGTTGATTTTAAAGTTGTTTTTCTAATAATGCCATGTCACTTAATGTTTAACAGGATTACCTGGTATTGATGGTGTGCCAGGACGACCAGGTGTGCCAGGCGAGACTGGAGAAGTGGGAAGGAAGGGAGAGCCAGGTCAGAGCATCCCAGGTTTGGATGGACCCATGGGACCTTCAGGACGTGATGGTATACCAGGAGCGAAGGGAACCCAGGGCTTCCAGGGACCACCAGGTCTTCCTGGAAACTCAACAATGGGACGTTCTGGATTACCAGGACTAAAGGGAAACACCGGAATGAAGGGTTTTCCAGGTCTTAACGGACGTAACGGTCTGCCAGGTCTACCGGGAATGAAGGGTATGTCTAAACTCATTGCTTATAGTACATAATTCCAAAGCTTGACATGTATGCATGTACTGTATATAGTTCTAATTTCTGCAATGTTAAATTATTAGTACAGCCAATCCTCCTTTGGAGCAAGAGGAAATATTCCCTCTAAAAATATTTCATCATTTCTGTTTATCATTCTGGATGGGAAAAATCATATGAGTCACACTTGGAAGATCTCGAATATTAGCCTTGAACACTGACCTTTGAACTGCACTCTTTACAGGTGACAGGGGTGGGTCGTGTAGTCAGTGCATGCCTGGAATGAAAGGTGACAAGGGATCATCTGGTCTCAATGGACTCCCAGGAACTTCTGGTCGCCGTGGAATCACCGGAGAAACAGGAGAACGGGGCGTCCCTGGTGAGGATGGAGCCCCTGGAATCCCAGGACAATCTGGTGAAATTGTAAGTATCATCAATCCTGAGTATTGATGCTCATCAATTCTCATTGAAAAAGACCACTAGTCTAGAATGGCTTTACCCTTTCACCCATACGTAACTTTAATAAACTCTACCATGCATTGTTCTGGGTAAGTCCATTGTGTTTTACATGGGTGAACTAGTGAGGTTAAGAATTCATTTAATATGAATTTTCATTTTTGGTAGTGGGTTAGAGATGATATCGGAAATTGTGACAAAAGTCAACAGAATTAAGTGTTGTATAAATGAAGGGTGTGGTCTTTTTCTTTTTTTGGGGGGGGGGGGGGGG